CGCCTCCGCGCCCCGCCCGGAGCTCCCCGGTTCCGCTCCGGCCCAGGCCCGCGCTGCTCCAAGGTCGGGCTGCAGAGCGGGCAGAGCGCGCAGGCGAGAAGCGGCCGCGGCGGCCGCCGGAGCCCGCGGAGCGGCAGAAAAGGTGGGCCGCGAGCCCCGGCTCGGGATGCGTGGCGGGACGCTCTGGTTCGGCCACCCAACCCAGAACTATCCTGGGCTCTAACTTTATCGGGGCTGGACTTGCGACCTACGGTGGACAAGGGGTAATCAGGGGGATTCCCTTGCCCAGCGTCTTGCTGCCTCCTTTCCTCCTATCTTCCCAAGTTTCTGTCTCTAAAACAACTTCAACGTTTCTCGTTTCTTCCTTGCTTCAGAGGGCCGGTCCTTCCTTACAGGACCCTCCTCCAAGGTAGTCACCTCCTGGGTGCTGCAACCTGGGCTTCCAGCGGACTCTCAGATGCTCAACGCGGACAGGTGAAGACCAGAACCAGAGCCCCCCAGGGAGCGCGCTTTCCCCAGGTTCGCTTGGTAAAGAAGAGAAAGAGAGTCTTTGGAATTTGAGTCTCTCCAGAGCTCCTTAGATCCGACCAGGAACGTTGGTTAGAGACCTCAGGTGACCTAAAGGTGAGGAGGAAAGCAGGCCCCGGACCTACATTCTATCAGAGAACGGCGTCCCGGCTGGTGGCAATAATGGTGAGAGCGGGAAGGAGGGAAGAGGAGGTGCTGCGCAATGGCATCTGCCGCCTGATGGTCTAAACTTTAGTGTAGGGGGAGGACCCCAGCTTTTAGGGATCTCATTTAGGCCTTCTCCCAAAGCTGCTGCATCCTTTGGGACTCAGTACTGGCTGGCTACCGCTTCAGAGGCACCAGGGGTGCTAACTCTCAGTAGCAACCTGCCCCTCTGACCTGTGCTTTGCCTTATTCTCACTTTCCCCATCCTCCATTAGCAAAATCTGCATAATACTGAGGTGTACCAGTAAGCACAGACATAGAATTCCAGACTGTCATGGAAGCAAGAAAAGCCTTTGGAGACCACATGGTGCAGCCACACCTCCCAGGATCCTTGACTGGAGCAGTTCTGTGGTTACATTGCTTTGGCCTGCAGCGACCCTCTCCAAAGGAGCTCTGGAGGTGTGGTGAAATCATTCAGCTGCTAACCAATTAAGGTGGTGGTTTGAACCCAACCGCTGCTCCCTGGAAGAAAGATGGGGCAGTCTTCTTCCGTAAAGATTTACAGCCTTGGAAACCCAGTGGGGGTTGGTATGAGTTGGAACTGACTTGCTGGAAGTGAGTTTTTTTTTTTTTTTTTTGGTTTTTACCCCCTTCAAAGGGGCAGGCAGCTAAGTGACAGTCTGCCTTCTTATTGAGTCAGAATCTGCCCTCTTGTATTTGGCAACCACCCCCAGCAAGCCCCCAGCCAGCTCAGGGCAATGTCTACTGGGAGGGTCTTGCATGAGGAAGATGAAGGTGGGGAAAAAAGCAGGAAATGGAGGATGGGACTGGGGTGAGATCCCTACCATACAGCTCTCAGTCCTCCAGATGCTGTCCATCCAGGAGTATAAGGCCTTCCTACATTAATTTTCCATAGTGATACTGCCTGGGAAACCCAAGGAAGGATCGCTGTGAGTCGGATCCCACTTGACAGCAGTGAATTTGGTTTGGTGCTTTTTTTGTTGTTGTTGTTAAGTTGTTTTTTGCATTAATTCCAGTTGTCACCCTCCTGGTGATGCTTCTTTACACACAAAGGTTTTGGGGAAGGAATTGGAGATTAAGCCATTATGTCACCTACTTTGGTCATGTTGTAAGAAGGGACCATTCCCTGGAGAAGGCTATCATGCTTGGCGAAGTGGAGGGGCAACAAAAAAGGGGAAAGCTCTCAACAAGATGGTCTGACATAGTGGCTGCAATGATGGGCTCAGTGTATAGCAAGGATCGTGGGGCTAGCCCAGGACTAGGCAGTGTTTCGTTCTGCTGTACATGAGGTCGCTGTGAGTCGGAGACAACTCGGCACCTAACAACAACAACAACAAACTCCTTGGTGTGAATTAGTGCAGATAAATATGTCATGCTCTGCCAAGAGCCAGAGGGTTAGATTAGAGTCTGAAATTAGGGGCAGAGGGCCAGTGCTAAGGTGGGTACTTCATCTTTCCCCTTATAGCAACACTAAATCAATTGAGCAGGGTCTAATTGTCAGATTTGTTGTTCACTGAACTAGAAAGTAGCTCTGGCAAGTCCAGGCTATGCTAATAACAACAAGTCCAGGCTCTCCTGTCACCTTGGGCAGTCCTCTATCTCCTAATACTTCTATTTCCTTGTTCCTAAATAACGATAATAGTTACCCAGGCTTACTAGTTCTTTATAAGGCTTTACAAGTGCTAAACTAGATATTTGTAAAGTACTTAGCATATTACCTAGGTCATGATAGCTATAATTACACACTCAACACTAGCACTGATGCTGTTAGGGAGGCATTACTGTGCCATTTTACAGAAGTGAAAACTGAAGCTTAAAGAAGTTAAATAAATGCCTAGCTGGAGGGTTCAGCAGGCTGGTAAGAGGGAGTAGCAAGTGAGGAACCACATTTCTCCCAGATCTGGACCTGTGCTACCCACCTGGCCATCTCCCGGGGTACCATGGACACATCTGGGAAAGCCCATCCACCCTCCCATCCAGGTCAGATATGGGCTGACCTCTGTGGTGCTTCTCTGTTCACCCTGCCTACCCAAATCCCACTTCTGCCCTCAGATGAGCCTCCTGCCTCCAGCCACAGCCACCTGTACCTCCTCCTGTGCATGATGCTGAAAGTCTGCCATGTTATTCAAACACCTTCAGTAGCTATCAATAGAATTAGATAGGATAGAGCAGGGCTCCCCACTCTTTTCTGACTTCTTCTCATGATTCCAATATTACCACCGAACAGAATGCCTTTCATTTCTCTGCTTCCTTCTAACCTTCTATCTCCCTCCTTCCCTTACTCATTTTTACTTAACAGATATTGTTGAGCACCTGTGTATGTCAAGTAGTGTCCTATGGCTGAGGCCTTGGCAGAGTCTCTGCAGTTGTGGAGTTTCTCTTCTCATGGACCAAGTGGAAGGCTGTCATGGGACAGACAACAAAGGGTGGTCAGGACACCTCCCCACCACCACCAGACAGGGACCAGGGGACAGAAACCTGGAGGCCTGAGGGCCCACAGAGTAAGTGAACTTTCTCATATCTGGCCCTCAGAGGAGAAAAGACCCAGAAAGCAGGGCAGTAGCCAAGGAAGTTCAGACACCAGGCCAACTATGGCCTTATCTCTGGCTCACCATGTCATGCAATTCTCCTAGCCCCAATCTCATGCTGAAGGGGGCTTTTTCTGCTGGGCTGACTTTGTCTCAACATCTGCTGGACAAGGTCTCTTCATTCCTTGAGGTGAGCTTAAATTCCATGTTCACTGGTCTGTAAGCACGCAGACCCCACTTCAGGCCCCCCAGTGGCCTGGCATGCTGCAGGTGTAAAGCAAGTGGACTCACAACTGCCCCCACTTTTGAAAGTCAACAGGAGACTCACACTTTGCTGTAAGCCTCAAGAACACAGATGTGACTCTTTACCTTATACCCATTTGGGAAACACATATGTTCCAACACTTGCTTATTCACTCATACACCCATACACTCATTCATTCAACAGAGTGTGCTGAAGGCCAGATGCTGGTGAATAAGGCAGACACATTCCAACTCCTGGGAGCTCATACGCCAGAGTAAGACACAGATTCCTGAATAATAAAATTTAAAATCATCGTAAATGCTACAAGGAAATAAGGTGATATGGGCATGAAGCATGCAATGGTGGATGGGTAGGGAGAAAAGAGAGGGAAGAAAGCCTGGTTGAATGAATGAATTGATGAAAAAGCAGATAACTTTAAAAAGGTAATGAATAAATCACTAAATCAAATTTCATAAGCTTAAATAAATGGACCCTACATTTTGGAGAGGGCACAGGAGCAAGGATCTCACAGCCTCCCATCTCTTAAAGCAGTGCTATTCCTGTGGTTTCTGGAATGGGGTCTGTGGGCCCATCTCCCAGCACCAGAGACCTTGTGTCACAGGGGGTCATTGTGGGGAGCAGAGAGGGCAGAGAGGTGCAAAGGATAATGACCTGGTTGGAGGCAGCCAGTTGTGACTCAAGGGACAGGAATGGGGCATCATGTGACTTCATTTGGTTCTTTCTGTGGAGCCTCCTGGAATTGGCAAGGGAAACACCACCACACAGAGCCAGCTCTGATCTTTTGTAGAAAGTTCATGAAGTCCCTAAAGGTGGTTGTTCACCATGGAGTGAGGGTGTGTGTGTGTGTGTTGGGGTGGGGGTGGGATGAATGCACACCTGGTATGTAACAAGGCATTCTAGGTGGAGAAACTGCTATTAAAATGGAGATTGATTGGTCTGCTGTAGAAATGCCCGTTAC